CAGTGGGAGTGACACTATATCAGACACACCCACAGTGGGAGTGACACTAAATCAGACACACCCACAGTGGGGGTGACACTATATCAGACACACCTCCAGTGGGAGTGACACTATATCAGACACACCTCCAGTGGGAGTGACACAATATCAGACACATCCAGAGTGGGGGTGACACTATTTCAGACACACCTCCAGTGGGCGTGACACTAAATCAGACACACCCACAGTGGCGGTGACACCATCTTAGACACGACCACAGACAATATGATTATATTGGTTACATTTCAGGAACAAGTAAATGAAAAAGTAAAGTAAATAAGCACAATGTTTTGGCCGTGGAGCCTTCTTCAGGAGTCTTTTCTTCTCTTTTCAGCCTGGAATAAACCTGTACTTGTTCCTCTGCAGCCTACGCATGCTGACGCAGCTCCCTACTGGAACTACATTTCAGGAAGCACTGCTGGATGAGGGCAGCTCTGAAACTCAGAAGTTGCTAAGACGCTGATCCCACTTTAAAAATAAAATCCCATCTGACCTTTTCACAGCTGAAGAGCCGATTTTCAATGTGCTGAAACAGAAAACTGAAATCAATTCCCCTGTGATTAAGAACTCAGCTGGAGCAAAGAGAACACCATTCCTACAAGCCCCAGGTTAGAAAATCCCTTTCCTAGAGTCAGATCCAGTTGTTTATCCCAAGATACTCCAGCAGGGGAAAGTGTTGTGTCAGTTCTTAAATCACAGCCACTACGGATACATTCTCTTTACTGGCTGTTAAACCAGTTCTGCATGTTCAATGAGGGCATATGGTGATTAATGTCTGATGTGGAATTTTATAAAAAGTCTTCTCGGAATCCAAATTTCATAATGTGCTGTTACACATCCCCGAATGACTAAGTCTTTCTTTTTCAATACAAGGTAGAAGCTCAAAGTTATATTTTCTACTAGTGTATTCCAGCATTACAAATTTCATACATTTTTCATTGCAGCAGATAAGAGTTTTTCCACACCATTCTCAGTGTGTGTTTGAGTTCTTTCCATATCAGCCTTTCCCAGAGAGTGGAGTTTGCTGTTTCTCAATGTATTTCTGTTAGAAAAACACATATTCAATCACACAGCGGTTATGTCTTCTTAAAGATTTATTTTCCAGGCTATTAAATGGCATTGCCTGCGGAAGAGAGTAGCCCAACTTTTGCAAGGATGTTATTGAACCTGAAAGGTACCACCTGGGATAAATTATCCATTCATTTTCTAACACACTCCCACAAGGGACAATGTTCCCAGAAGCCCAAATAACCCACAAGCATGTCTTTGGACTGTGGGCAGAAACCAGAGCACCTGGGGGAAACCCATGTGGAGATGGAGAGAACATGCAAACTCCACACAGACAGCACCCAAGAAGATCAGACGTGGAACCCAGGACCCCCACACTGCAAGGCAGAAATGCTAACCACTGCGCCACCCATGTGGGATGATTGATACGCCAAATTTGGTTTCAAGAACCGGTGCCTGTTGATTGTCACAGCAATTGTTGGCAGCCAACGCCGATCACTGCTGCTTGGGAAAATCTAATATTAAAAATTAAAATGTAAACCTTCCGGATATTTGACCAGTTTTTAAGAAAAATGTGCTTTTCTCTAGCTTCTGAAAAGAGGAAAGGGGCCCAAGCCAGAATGACTAAAATGTCCTTTTAATTCCTGCAGACTACAGGAAAACAAGCAGAAATTGTTAAAAAGGCAACATTAAGTCTGTCCCAAAGCCCCAAAGTCTATTAATGTGGCAATCAGAATACCAAAAGCTTTTTTAAAGTGAAGTAATGGGTTGTCTAATTCTGTGAGGCACTGTGGGCCTCCCACGCCCGAGCAGTTTGTGCATAAAATTTTAGGGGGAAACGTATCTTCTTTGCATGAATACAAAAAAGAACTTAACACAAGATTTTTCGACCTATTCTCT